AGATTCAGTAATAGACAGCTGATGCTGGGATGCTTCGACAAGCTATTAGGAGTGATTGGCGGAGTTTTGAAACCAGGAACCCGCTTGTAGAGCGCATATGAGCTGCTGCAGCGTAGTGGGGGGGGGGGGGGCAGGGGGTTTTGTGAGTGAAAATTTTAACGTTGAATTATTTGCGCGTAGATTTTTGGCGGTTGAATTTTTTGCAGTTGAATATTTTAAACCTTCAGATACATGATTTCAATGCATAAATATTCAGTGCTAGAAGTTCAATCACCTTTTTCTTTCAAAATCCCATGACACAGATTTACCATGCTCTTTACACTACCCTCATGTCTTGTCTTGATATTAAATAATGTTTTTTATTGTGTATTTTACTGTTGTGCTTTTCTATCTGTTTCATATTTTAAAAGCTGTTCTAGTAAATTTTGTTGTAAATTTATGTTTTCCTCTTTTAAATGCTGCTGCTGTTAAGCATTTGTCTGTGAACGCCCTTATATGAATGCGTTTAACTTACTTACTTTTTCTCAACAGGACACCATGATTATTCCCATGTTGCACTCTGTGCTGAAAGAGGAAAGGAATTGGGCGACTCCCCAGTCCTTCAACCCCCAACACTTCCTGGACCAGAATGATAACTTCAAGAAAAATCCTTCTTTCTTGCCCTTTTCTGCAGGTGAAACAGTCTTTAGCTAATGCTGTAGATAGTTAACGACCTTTGAAGAGTTTCGTTGTAAAAGTGCCTTATTTTTCATTAACAATGGGTAATTGATGTGCTTAACATCAAACTGATAACCCTTAGTAATAAACTCCTAATAATGTTTCTAATTGTTTCTCCTCACAGGGAAGAGAGCCTGTGTTGGCGAGTCTCTGGCTCGTATGGAGCTTTTCATCTTCCTGGTGTCGCTCCTGCAGAATTTCACCTTTTCCAGCACCGGAGGCCCCGACAGCATAAACCTCATTCCAGAGTACAGCAGCTTCGCCAATCTGCCGCGCACTTACCAGATCATCGCCACGCCGCGGTGAGACGGGGGCTCCCTTCAGGCCCTCGATCGTCGCACCCTTCAGTCCCCCATACACACAGAACATAAGTTGCTTTATTGACTCAGCAATGTTTTCTGCAAAGGTTTGCTGTGGCTGGCAGGCCTGTCAGCATTATTATGAACCCTCTCGTCTTGTGCTCTGCTTGTCTTTAATGTATTTTAAATCAACTCCTTGTTCCTGTGTTGATTGTGAGCACGCTTTCTACCGGGAGTGAAATGTATTGCTACATTTCTGCTATGGAGGTACACACACACACCTTGCTGTTGACAACTTTGTATAACTGCTTTTAAAATAAAATCATGACATTAAAACACACATTGAAAACACAATGTCCTTAGAAATTTAAATGTTGTGAAATGCTGCCACATAAAATCATTTTTAGCTTGTTTTTGAGGATTCATATAAAATGTCAGAATTTTTCTGAAATTTTATATTTGAATATAAGCGTGATGCATTATCTAACTGTATCTCTTGGTGAATTTAGGAGAAACAGATTTTTTATTTCCACTAGTAGCCTACTAGTACCAGCGGATTTCTAATGATAAAAACTGTTGTATTCAAAAATGAAGAAACGCCGGACGGACAGATGTCATCGCAGATCAAAAGGTTAAAATCAAATGTATTTAATAAAAGAGATGGCGTTGTGGTAAAAAGAACATCTCAGCTGAGGAGCCGCTGGTCTCAGCAACCAACAGGCCCCAGGTCAGTCCTTTGACCATCCCTAGTGCCCGTCTGTTGCCTCCACCAGCGAACTCTAGAACAATGGTTCCTACAGGTATTTATAACAATGCTTAAAGGTGTGAAAGTCAGTGTCCACACCTCTGGGAGTGGTCTTCTGGTGAGTTCAATGTGAGGGTTAGGGTTAGGGTTTTTAGTATTACATGCATGCATTCCAGTTGATTACATTACATCAAATACAATCATAACTGTACATTGATGTTATTCTATTACAGTTGCAGAATTACAGTAGTTTTACAATATTGTCATTACTTTATTGATTACACAGTTTCAGAATCATGGCTGTATTCTGGTGTACACTATATGCATTTTATGAACCGGGTTGTCAATTTGTTTCTAATATCCTACAAAACCTAATAAGACATAACAAGTTATTTAAATGTCTATACGGCCCACAAAAACTATATTTCAACAAATTAATGAATAACTTTAGCCAAATTCACTTCATTTTAAGTAATATGTGGAACTCCCTTTCAGCTGGACCGTGTACTTTTTTGAGTTCCTTTTACCATTTATACCGCTTGTTGTTTTTTGCCTATAAAACAAAAATGAATGAATGAATGAAAGCGAGCGCTTTTGTTGTTGCAAGGAAATGCTCTTCGGAAGCCTGACAGTTCAACGAACAATCACCGGAGGTGCAGATTTCTTATGCGGTCCCGTGTGTGAAGCAGAGAAAGGGAAGGACCCTCTCAGTTGGACTCGAGAAAGCAACCTGCTGCCGTGGTGAGTTCTGATTCTTTACTGTTTTTTATAGCTTTGGTTGACATCTAGACACGTTTAACAATGATGCAAGACAGAATGGGGCGTCACGGTGGTGGTTAAGCCCTGTGTCCAAGGTGTACCCCGTCTCTCTATCTGGGATAGACTCCAGCGACCCTGTGTGCAGGATAAGCGGTGTGAAGATGGAAGGATGAGACACATATATGTGACAGACAGAAGAGTGATGGTTGTGTTCAGACTATGGGCTCGTGTGCGGATGTAGTTCCATTCACACGGCTTCACTCCATTCGGGATTACGAGTCACCCTTTTCAGCTATTTTAATGTATTTGCGACAGTCGAGTAGGGTGTGTGTGGTGGTGGTGGTGTTGGTGATAACCCGGTGGTATGCCCGGGCATGTCAACACATCACTCTCGAGACAGCAGGAGACGCAGCATCAGCATCCTCGGAGTCGTTGCTCCTGTAGCGGCACTACAGTGTGTGTACGTTAGTTACTGATGGGCAGCTGTCACTGTGTATGGTAGATCCTGTCATCAGTGTATGAATGGGTGTGAATGGGTGTGAATGGGTGAATGATGTCATGTAGTGTTAAAGCACTTTGAGTGGTTGGAAGACTAGAAAAGCGCTGTACAAGTACAGACCGTTTACTGCTACTTGTTCTACTTCACACGTGTAAACAAAGATACAATTCAAAGACAAAATAATTAACCTTTTTCTGATAAATGTATTCTTTTGCCAATTTAATAATACAAAATATGAAAGCGTTGTGAAGCGCTTACAGAGGTGACTTGTGTCAGGGTCAGATGTAGCATGATAGGCCAAATATTACGTTCACGCACCTGCTGCTTGGATACGAAACTAATAAACAGACAGGATCACTTTGTTTTTCTAAGGCCTCTCTCTTCTCCCTAGATGTCGTTCATTTGCCAACAGCCCCTAAAGCCAGACATCAGCGCTGTGGATCGGCTCCGGATTATCTGCTGAGTGTCTTTTAGATCTCTGATCCACTTGCATGATTTACATCGGCTCTTGAACTAATTCTCATCCATCTTTTAGCCACATATGAAAATGCTGACTTATCTAGCGATGACGCGGGTGAGTGATTCTGACTACCAGTGGTGTGTTTACTCACACCATTCGTGTTCGTTTTTACAGGAAAGCGGGCTTGTGTTGGAGAGTCCCTGGCTCGCATGGAGATCTTCCTCTTCCTGGTGACGCTCCTGCAGCGCCAGTAACTGACGTTTTTAGATAATGAATGTGTCCTGTAACTCTGGCCTTCTCAGATGTTTCCATTCAAAACAACTTTGTTTGAGAGTCTTTAGATGGGACGCCCACTGAATACAGATCGGTTTAGGTGGGGCCAGATCAAAAAATGAAATAAAAACTAAATGTTTTTATTTTACATTTGAAGGGCCTGCTCTGTCCGAGAGATGATTGAATGAATTGTGACATTTAACAATTGCAATATTTACAAATGTTTCAGCTTTAACGGAGAGTTAAAGCTTTTCATTAATGTTAAAGGCACACCGAAGATTATGGGAAAAGGCCAACTCACTATAATGCCACAGTTGTTTCTCTTTTGTTTGGCTTGTTTAGTTTGGCTGTTTAAATAAACAGTGCTAATAAATATTAGTAACAATCTAAAATGATCCCAAGGAGTAAATTCAATATATATATATATTTAGATTGTTACTAATATTTATTAGCACTGTTTATACTAAAGCAATACTAAACTGTGTAGTTGTTCTGTCATAACACTCTGCAAATGGGAACAAGCTGAAGCATCCTACTGAATTTATGTACTTTTGTTTCTTTTTGTTTCTCCAACACATTTCGCCACAAGAGGGAGCTTTTTCAACAGTTAATAGTCTCCCAACAATTATCAATATGTTGATACATATTTAGATCTAAACAGCATCTTTATGATTTGATCTTATTTGGATTTCGGCCATTTCTTTATGGGGCCTTTTTGTGAGGTTGGTTTTGCAAAAAGAAGTATGAATCAAATGATAAGACAGAAAAATAATTGTTTGCAAGTGTTTTTAATAGAAGACAATACATCGTAATGACTTAAGTTCAACGTTCCTGAATAATCTGGTGACGGACTGAATCAGGTGATCAGTGTGTTGATTTCTTGTGTGAGCGTAGTCGTCCCTGTCAACGTTCTGATGACTCTTGTGGCGGGTTTTAATTGAACTTGTATATTATATGTAGAACTGTGTCATCTATTCATTACTTTTGAAATATTTTTCTACTGACACAAATGTATATTTTAAATATCAGCTAACATGTTTTTATTAATTATATCGTTATTTATATAAGTAATAAGGTACGAGAGGCTGTTAGTTAGGCTATTAGGCTATTGTCAATAATGTTATAAGGCCGACGCGTATTGGGAACACGTTTGTCACCTGAACACCAGAAGTTAGTTGACTATTAGTTGGGAGATCGACATTAACTTGTATGTCGTCTGAAAACATTTCAGGTCTCCTTGCAAGATATCGCACCATCTCATTCCTTCACATCGCTCATGACCTTCACCTGAATTGTCCTCTTTAGCTAAAAGTTGCCCTAAAACAGTTGCCCACAACGGGTCATTCGCGGCGTTTCCGGTCCTCATCGCTGAAAAACTGAAATGACAACTAACGGTGGCGCAACGTCTAACTCCTATTTTGGAGTGCGCAGTGATATGGAACGCTCCGGTCCGTGTAAACAGGTACAGTACATTATTGTTCAATGAAGGACACCCTCACTCTAGACCAATGCAGTAGTTCAGTTGTAGTCATATGTAACTGCTCCATAAACGAAACCCTAAAAAAAGCACACAGGGGACCTTATGGGCTGCTGTATATCCTTTTGAAAGACATGAAAACCTGACACTAGCTGTATTTTGGTACTAAAACTAAACTGCAACATGTACTATTATTCATTGTGTAAATAAGCAGTTAAGCCAACAATGACAAGCAGGATCATAGATTTAAAATACTCTTTTTCACCATCACACAAAGGATATCATTCAAGTGAAAAACACAACACCAGTCCGCCTCGCTTTGCTTTGCTTTGTTAAATGTTGGGCAGGTGGTATTTATGCTTCACCTGTTTCTTAAGGTCTGGTGCTGGTGAGATGTTGCTGTTTGGTAACTGAGGCAGGTACTGGGCCTACAGGGAGGAAAGGGAGAAACACAAGTTAAGATGGTGAATCGGTGCCTGGCTGTAAACGCAGAAAAAGGAGCCGTCCGTGGGAAGCTCTAATAGAGACGTTAGCTTGGGTTTGTGACAGTTGAAATGATTTGGGGGGTTGAAGTGGCGGTTCCTCTGCTGAAGCCCCAGTCACCACCTCGGGGACATGCCCGGCGTGCAGCGGCGTGCGCCTAATGGGCTCACGGGACGGTTCCTTCCACCATCAGGCGTGTGCGTTTCTGGTGCTTACCCCCAGTTGTCTGCGTCGGCAGCCCTTGTCGTGCCGTCGTCCCGGGCGCTCACCCTCGCGGCCCCAGTTGGCGCCTTCGTCCTGGAAGTACGGCAGCTCCAGCAGCTCTTCGCAGGACAGCCTCAGCGAGGGGTCCATCACCAGGCAGGACTGCTCACAGGAAGACGCAGAGATTTGGACGGGGTGGTCGGCCACGTTGGGGTACGAGTCGTGCGTAGACGAAACGTACCTTCATTACATGGAGGGCGAGTGGAGACGCGCCATGGAAGCGCTTTTCCAAAGGCTCCTGTTTTGGGGAGAAAAAATAACATCAACCATACTTCACTTTGTCTGCTGAGAACGTGTGGCAGCTGGATTTGTACCGTTGTGTCGGGTTCAGGAATACTGACTCCGCTGAAGAAAACGTTGGAGCGGAAGACCTGCTGGTGACGGGGGATCAGGTCACCTGAGGTCACAGAGCAGATCATCACCATCAGTAGTTTCCTTTTAGTTCAAGCGGTAATTGGATTTTCATTTTTTTATTCGAATTTTAAAAAATCTTTTGTGTGGTAAACGGTTCACAGACTCCAAAGAAACATATAATTCATTTCTAACTATCCCCATAAAGAGTCCTGCTTCAGCAAACCCACCAGAGCGAAGTGGAAAAGAAATGGAAATTCCAAGTTTTCTGAAATACATTTTAAAGTTGCTTTCACACCTGGTTGAGTTCACACTCATGTGGCCATTTGTTTTTTGTTGGATTAGATTTATGTGGAACTCCTTAATGATTAAAACGGCTGAGGTGTCTTGGGGACTACTCTGAAATCTATCCACTGATGTTAATATATTTTTTTATTTGACCTTTATTTAACCAGGTAAAATCAGTTGAGAACCAATTGTCATTTACAATGACGACCGGGCCAAGAGACAGTAGCACAGTCCACACAAGTGACACAAACAGCACACATACAATACAGCATGACACACACATGAAAAGAAACGGCTAAAAACAACATAGTGCTGAGAACAGCTTTTGTTGAGAGAGCAGAGGGATGTTTGGTTTGAGGCAGAAGATTTGAGAGGTAGCGAGGGGTCAAACCCAAAATGCATTATGAAGGGAGGGCCAATCCACCAATCTGTAGCGATCACAGTGGTGGGTGGTGAAGGGTGCGAATCGGATTACTGAGTGTTTCCAGTTTTCTGAGGGTGGTCTTTGATGCCATTTTATAGATATCGCCAGAGTCAAATAGAGGAAGGATGGTCATTTTCACAAGGGTGAATTTGGCAGTTTGTGTGAAGAGGCCTTGTTTCGATACAGGGAACACAGTCCGGCTTTGACTTTAGCAGGAAGGATTTGGATGTGTATGTTTAATGAGAGAGACGAGTCCAACCAGAAGGTATTTGTAGGAGGTGCCAAACTCCAGCTCCGAGCCATCAGCGCTGTAGATCTTGGGAGGGCTAAAGGGTAACTTCAGTAGTTTGTGAGCTGGGCCGTCTTTTCTGTTTTTTTTGTTTGTGGAAGTGAATAATTGGGACCCTATTTAAAATAGTCCGGTCTCAATCGGGATTAGATCATTTTCCTCTTTACCTTTTGCTTTGCTGAGAGCGCTGGTGGTGTTAGAGATGCACCTTGGTGTTACACAGATTTCCAATGATGTCGCGGCCCGCAGCGATTACATTGCAGCTCTGTGAACGCAGGTTGAAAAGCGCCGCGGTTGCCGTTTAAGAAAGCAACGTCCCACACAATCAGCCCCTCGGTGTACCTAGAGTTTTCCTTATGAGGTACAGCTGGTCAACGTCGGACTTCCCGGGCCACAACGGATTCCCGTGGAGCAGCTCGGCAAAGACGCAGCCCAGGGCCCACACGTCTACGGGGGGCCCGTACTGAGTGTCTCCCACCAGCAGCTCAGGGGCCCGGTACCAGCGCGTCGCCACGTAGTCCGTATACTCATCCTCCGGTCCTGCCAATCACGCACACGGAGATAACATGTGTAGGGACACGCGCACACACACTCAGACGCTGAATAATGTAACACCTAATAATGCAAACGTTGAAGAGGAAGGGATTACAAGGCATGCTGATTGACTGCTTGTTAACGTATGGTAACATAAGAGGCGAAACTCGAGGCAGGAGGGGTCAACAGAGACACGCTATCTGGCGGAGAGGCCCTCCTATGCAATGCTTTCATTGGCACGTTGTAAGTGAGGAGGTCATTGGCTGGAGCCCTTTCAGGTCCCGTGGTGAATAAGTCATTAGAGGCAGACAAACACTCATTGCTCTCTCTCCCTTCGGATGGACCTACTCAAAATACGGGCGAAGCCGAAGTCGCAGAGCTTGATGACTCCGGTTTTGGTGAGGAGGATGTTCTCTGGCTTTACATCCCGGTGGATGCACTGCAACACAAAGGCTCGGCGTCAGGGATTTTGGCAATGTGATACACGGTCTCTTGGTGACAGAGAGAGAGGGATTCACATGGAGGCTGACTGATGAGGACTTAAGGAACAATAGCAAGAGATCAGGAGGCTGTGCACATTTCAATATTGAAACCAAACACTGCATTGTAGAGTCATTGTAGAGACTTTGACCTGAAGCATAAACTAAGTCAGTTTGCTCATTTGCTCTGGAATAATGCTCAGTTTCATGTGAGTAGTGGTCAGATCTCACAACTTGGCATGTGTATGAACAACTTGTTGGGTGAATCTATACAATTGTTATAGTTGTTCTAAAAACCAATTAAACAAGGTGTCGATACATTTTTCAAGAGGATGTATGAAAATGTTTCTTGAGAGAATGGGCCTTGTCTCTTTTGGACTGAGTGCTTCTGTTTATATATGTGCATATATGTGTGGGTGTAGATATTTATACAAATAAGATAATTAAGGGTTAATAATTTGTAAAAAAATAAGTTGTATGAACAATTTGTGGGACATTTTCATACATGTATTTCTTCCTCAGGCTTGTCAAGCACTTATTTATTTAATTCAGAATTTGCTCTACATGTTTTGATCCAAATGATGCAGAGTCAGGAAGTTACCTTCTCCAAAATAATATAAACGTTTACCTGTCTTGATAACCAATAATTACTTGATATATGTGTATATACTGGAGAGAGTATAAATATGTGCGTGTATATATAGTATATCTATAAACTAAAGAAGAAGTAAAAGAGGTGGAAGATCACAAACATCAAATAAAGTGTTATGTTCAAAATGTCCTGACATTGTGCTTGTGGCAAAAGTTAACAGCTTGCAGAGTCTGCCACACGATGCTCTTCAGCTGAGCCTCCTGGACCCTGCAGAGGACGACACACAGAGGATCATTGATCGGCATCAGAGGAACAAACTGAAGCCTTTCACTAGTCGTGTTTTCCTTGTCTAAAAACAGAAGCGGTGCTTTACACAGCACCTCTTGTCACCACGGTAACCGTAGGCGCGTCTCCAACAAGCGCTTTTGTTTTCAGGAGCAGCTAGAGTTTCTGCTGCGCAGCCTTGAGGGGAAAAATGGTCCAATAGAAAGTGCCCGTTGTGGGCTGGGCGTGCTGTGTGACTTCACATGAGAGAAAATATAAATTGCATCTCAAAAAAATGGAATGGAAAGAAAGAAAGATTTCCCCTAAATAGCTAATAGCTTTAGACCCGGATGTCCCCCCTCCCTTGGATACCAACGCGCTCCCTCTTCTCAGATCTCTTAACAGTCTTAACTCCCTCTTTGTATTTCACACTGTTCCTTTCTGTTGCCCTTCTCTCGTAAGCAGTACACTTACCATCAAAGTACACAATATATGCTTAACTGTAAAGAGAGGCCCACTTTTTAGTGGTGGAAGAAGTAATCCGATCCTTTACCTAAGTAAGAGTGTACTTACTTACACAACAGTGTAGAAATACACTCACTAAAGGTCCTGCATTCATACTGTAGCTTACTTGTAGGTCCTGTGTTGCGTTTAGGAGGATCAGTAAGTGGAAAGGAATATAACCCTCATCGTTTTGTTTCCATTAGGGTACGATCAACAGAAATTAACAATCTAAGAATGTTTTTTGTGGTCTTAGAATAATCCCTTTATATCATGTTGCACCACCATGTTCTACAGAAGCCCAGAGAGGACAACCTAAACACAGGCTTTTGCCTTTTAGCGCTACCTGAAAGCCACCGTAGTTTTTCAACAAGCTGGAGAAACACACTGCCAGTACTTGCTGTCTGAGTTCTGTAAAAGGAAATATGGCGAGGCCTAAAGTAAAGTGTGAATACATCAGTGTTGTTTTGTCTGAAAAGTAACTTTTACCAGACTGTCAACTGAAGGCAGTGGAGTAGAGTACAAAGTAACAGGGAGGTACTCGACTAAAGTGCCTCAAAACATGTTTAATTATGAGGAAATGTAAATGCCATCGCTGTCATTTTAAAAAGTTATCCGTGAAATAGAGAAGGATTTTCTACAGGTGTCCACTCATTTGGCCATTCAGCTTCTACAACAACTAGCTGACCTCCACTGTTTCCCCTGACCTACCCGCGAGGGTGTTTGTCCAGCTCATTGAGGACCGTCTGCTCGCAGAACTCGAACACCAAGTGGAGCCGTCTCTTCTTCCTGAAGACCTCCAGCAGGTTGACCAGATTCACGTGTTTCAATTGCTGCGGGACCGACAAAGACAAAGGCACTGTTCTTACCCCAAAACTTTGGAAAACAACACACAAAATGTGGCCTCCAAATGTTTTTCTTTTCTTTTGATATCAAAATATTTTCCACATATAAGTAATTTGTCAGTTTCCAAAGTGTAAATGTTTGTAAAGCTCTTCAAAGCTGCCATTTCTGTGCATCGTGTGTCTGGTACCTGCACGACCCCACGATGAAACAAAACGTCACGAGCCGTGCACCTGTGCGCGTGCACAGTGTCCACTCTGCAGTGTTAAATGTGGCCGTGTTGATAGCAAGGGCATGATGTCAATCTGTTCTTACCTTCAGCATGCGAATTTCTCGCAATGCAATCTTCTTGATGACGGGGTCGTCTTCAGATTCCACAAACTTCTTGATGGCCACAATCTGGCCCGTGTCCCTGTGTCTGCACTTGAACACCACGCCGTAAGAACCCTCGCCAATTTTGGCCAGCTTTTCATACTTCTCCATTGGCACTTAGCGGATGTCCACTATCAAGAGAGAAAAGAACACTGAGAACGATTAACAAATACATTCCAATGCCCACATAAATAATGACGATTGTATTTGTGTGTGGATTTTGTTTTTTTTCCATTTGATCGCACTGCATTTGTTTGTGGATTGCAGGTGGATTGAAGTTGTTTGAGACTCCCTGACGTCTGTAGCCGATCAGGGGTCGCCGTAATTTTTAATCAACCACATGAGGGCAGCTCCCCCATCCCCTCCCCACAACGCTGCCAGCGTTACCAATACGCAATTTGCGGCGGCGAAGCGACGGGTCAGAAGTCACCCAACAATGGCGCCTGGTTGTGTAAGCGTCAAGTAACATGTAACAAGTTTAAAGTTTCGTGGCGTGCATCATTCATTATGTTTGAGTTGTGAATTATTGCTAATCAAATATGTTGCGTCGTGGGTGTATTTTGCGGCATTGTAATACAAGCGTCAAGCTAATTGCTTTGCAAAATAATGCATACGGGCGATCAGAAGCTAATGTTCACTTAGTTAGTCACTCTACAATTATTATTACTAACTTTACACAACATAGCCTCACCGGTAATTTGCTTGGAAATAGCTTGCTTGTTTAAACATATTAATTAAAACAGTTGTTACTTATATCCAAAATGTTACATCGCAGAAGAACCAAAATAGCGTGCAGAAACTGGCTAAGTATATGGAGCTACAAGATTACACTGACTAAGAAGTTCATCACAGAATTATCTCTTCTAACTTTAAAAACTAATAATTCGTGGATCAACAGCATGGTATGACTTAAAACATGGGGGGCCGGGGGTGGTGTACATTTACTATGTTTCACTAACACCATTGTTTGCTGACCTCTGACCCGCCGCTTTGCCTCCAAAAATTGCGTAACCACCAGTGTGCTTCAATGCTGGCAGCCTCGTGGGACGGGGCGGGGCGAGCTGCGCGCATGTGATTGGTTGAAAACGAGGGCGACATTTCATCTGATACAACCGTCTCAAAAGAGCCACACACACAAATGTGGAGCGACCCACAAACAAATACATACTAATCCACAAACGAATTTTAAAATCCACACACAAATTACCTGCGAATGCAGAAATACATTCCTAATGGATTGATGTGTGCATTGGAAAAGTATTTTTGAATCGCTGCGTGCATTTGTAAATTTAATATAACGTTATTTGGGGAATCTTTCTGTTTGCATTTGTGAGTCTTTCTGTGCATAATTGCAAATGCACACAGAAAGCAGTTTCCCCCTAAATTAATTAAAAAAAACATGTTTGTTTGTTTTCAACTTCAAAATGAATTTCCACATTATGAAGATATGGGTTGACAAAAAAACAATTTAGGCCATTATGTATGTAAGTATCCCGACCATCACTCACCTGTGCAGTAGAATGTGAACGCGTCTCCTCATCGACGAGTCAACACCAAGTCCATCGAAAGTCCCCAAAGCTTTCTAACCCGTCGTGTGGCCCTCAAGCGCCAGCTGAGCACAGTCTCTTCCGTGGAGGTGACTCCCTCCCTTGTCCCGACGCGTCGTCGCCTTGGTAACGCGCTTCAAACTGGCGGTCCTCGTTTGATTGTGGACACGATCAATAAACACGCAGGTAATAAGTGATGATCACGATGTGTAACTTGCCCCTTATCAGAAACTGCTCGGTCAAAGCAGCGGGAAACCATGAAATAGCGAGTCACAAAGCTGGCGCCGCAGCGCCTTCTGTGTAACCATGGAGATGGTGACCCAGACGAGCAGACCGGGACCGGTGGACGGTCGTTAAAGGGACAGTCCACCCTCCAAAAGAATGGTCTCTCACCTGTAGTGATGAGCTGTTATCCAAAACAAAGTTAGAGAGCGCCTCACACCGCTGGGGAGAGAAGCTCCAGCATCGTGTCACTCCTCCGCAGATACGACCAACTCTGATGTGGTTTCCTGATTTATAGACTGTTCTGTTCCCTCTGTTGACTGTAAACTCTTTTCTCCTGGCGTCCCTCCCTCGGCTCGTCTGGCCCAGAGACTTTGGGCTTTGCTGCAGCTGTATGGGAACTCGTGCGGAATCACGTGAGATACCGTTTTGGACCTTACAGTCAATTATGAGGAAACAGACTGCGTAGTGTCCTGAGACACCCAGAGGTGCTGTCTTTGAGGCCTGGTGGGTGGAAGACACGAAATGCCCAATAGCAGACTGGTGAGGTGTGTTGTGATACATTAGAGCTGAGAACATAGGTTTTGAATCTAGGGTTGTCACCATACCAAAATTATGACTTCGATACTATACCTGCCAAAATATTACGGTACCCGATACTTACGATACGATACCACAAATAGGAAAATGGAATATATTTATCTATGATAGTAATAAATAAAACATCTGTAAGTTTTTTTTACCTGGTATCTATTTGACTGTCTGTGGGATGAACAATGCTTTATTTACTTGCATAGTTTGATATTCTCACATTCATATTTCCTTAACTAAAAATATAAAGGATAAGGTGGAGATCCACCCTCAGGCTCCACAAGCATGTAGCCTATTGCATCAAGTGTGTATTATTTAATACAATTTTGTGTGCATTCTGACCTCATGATCATATAGGCCCACATGAGTGAAATTGTAGGTTATTTTGCATGTATATATTTCTGCTGGACTATTCAGGAACTCATTTGGGGTCTTGCTTTGTCTTGTGTTGCTTGATGTTTGACTGTTTTAGGAAAGTTGTTGTCAAGCTAGCAAACAAAGCTACAGGGCTGCCAACTCTCACGGTTTCCCCGTGTGACACGCGTGTTTCCATGTTTTCACACGCACTCACGCCACACATCCAATTTATTACGCAAAAAAAACAAAACTGCGCTGGTTCATCTAAACGGCGCATCTATAACCCGATTCGCTGCACGTAGCGTAACTTACACCCCCCGTCAGCCGTAGCTTCACCGCCAACGTCTCACTCCAAGGTTTAGTGAAAAGTATCCCTATAACATTACAAAGAAGCCGACTCGAGAGCACTTAATACTAGCATCAATATGCTAGTGTTTTATAACAAGCTTGCTAACATTGCTAACGAGATGTCTGCTAGCGGCTAAACTTACTTTGTTTATGACAAACTAGCAAGTCAACAATTTTCCAAACAAAGTCAAACATCAAGCAAGCGCAACACAAGACAAAGCAGAGGTCTATGGGGCGCCGTTTGTAAAATGTTGCACGTCCTAAAATCCTGCACAGTTTTTCCACATTTAGCATTATATAAACGAAAAAACACGACAATATTCACATGTCACTTTTTCAAACATTTAGAGAGAAATTCATTTAGATTCATGCAATAACTTTTCCAAGGATAATGTTTGGCAGTAACAAAGTTGTTAAATAATATAAATGTTAAATCTAAATGTAAATCTAAATGTTTAATCTAAATGTAAATGTTAAATGTTAAATCAAAATGTAAATGTTAAATCTAAATGTTAAATGTAAATGTTAAAGAGGGAGCCGCCGTAGTTATTTTATCACAAAATGACACAGCAGGAATACGTGTAATGTCTACACTGTTATTATAGTTGTGTATGTTTGTACTGCACAATTATTTTGTGAGAAAAGAACACATGTGTGGATCAGAAAGAAAATGTTACCAGATATTTTACGCTTGGAGTTGATGTCAACCCCCAAAGTTGAGTCCCGCAGAGCTCTTTCCACGCTGCACCATCTTTGGCCACCAGACGGCATCCGGCCCCCACTAACGCGCCAACGGACCAACACAACCCACAGTAACGTTTAACAGTAATCAGAGACGTCGTGCTGGTGGCGCAGTGGGACACGCCGACGTTGTCTTCGTGTGATTGATCATTGTGTTCTGTTGTTATCATTACTGGCATGTTAGGGGATTTCTGCCTCGACTTTCCCTTTGCTAAATGTCCCCGTTTGTTGCCGGTGTTCAATGAATAGATCATTCTTCATAACGGTAAATGGGAGATAATAAACAAACATGGACAACCCTATTGGGCTCCAAGACCGAAGCCTGAATGCTATTCATTTACTTTTCATTTACTACCCTTGCTTCCTTGTTGAATCCTCCCTCAGGCGGAAACAAAACCATTCAAACCGTCCCCAGATTGTTTTAGTCTAGACTTCCTTTTGAAAATACACAATTCAACTTCTGAAAAGGCGCACAGACGTGGGTCCGCGCGGTCCAGCCCTGTTGGCACCTCGCTCCCTTCAAATCCACCCGTCTACTTTTAGACACGAGGGGCTCGGATCCCTGGCAGGCGTCCCCCCTTCACAGCCACCAGGTAAATGTGGCGGTCAGTTGGCGGGACACCGGTGCCACAGAGGGCCTGTTGACACGGTCAGTCGGTGGGAGACAAGCCAGAGAATGTGAGAGAGCCTCTAAAGTCACTTGGTCCTGTCTTCCTGGTGTGGACAGAAGGCAGGCAGGGCTCAGTTGAACAAGCAGATGTTTTACACTGAGGCCGTTACCCTCATTTCCTGGGCGGAGAGAGCTGCTCGCTCTGTCAGACGAGTAACAGGAACCTGAAAAAAAGAGAAAAAGTTAGAGAGAGAGAGAGAGAGAGAGAGAGAGAGAGAGAGAGAGAGAGAGAGAGAGAGAGAGAGAGAGAGAAAAGTTAGCCGAGCTCCCACAAATCACTTTGTCACCAGCAAGCTCTGACAAGCATCAGGAGAGAGGAGAGAGACCGAGGGGGAGAGAGAGAGAGAGAGAGAGAGAGAGAGAGAGAGAGAGAGTTAAACAGAGGTGCGAGAAGGGAGGTTGTGTCAGAGGAGACTGGACGGGGAAGGTGTGAGGGAGCTGCACAGGGCATAAAAGGAGGCGACACCGATGGATGGATAGAGAGGAGGGAGAGCAGAGACGACCCGACCCTCAGAACTGTGTGAGGGACTCGACTGCTGCCGCTGTCTCTGTGAATGGTGCGCTCACATAGAGAGAAGGTGTGTCAAACTTTGCTTTCATGAGGACAGCGTTCGGCCAATTACATGCTCGAGCTGCTTGAGGCCGATATCACACTTTTACACGGCTACGGCTGCCGTCTCCGCGTGTTGTGCCGGCAGTCTCAGAGCGCGTTTTCTGGTGAACTGCAGCTGTGTACAGGTCACATGTTGTTATTGCTTAAAGGAAAAAGAGGTAGTCAGAGCGGGGGAGCAACACGAGTTTAACAAATGTTTGTTCTTTGTCCTGTGGGGACATTTCTGGATGGCTTGAGAGCATCGGTTCGTGAACTGAGCCAAAGTAAGTCAGTGAGATTTCAAAATCCTGGACTGGTCTTTTGTGCCAAATATAGTTGATCGGGTCTGGGGTTGAATCTAAGGCACCGGGGTCATCGGATCAAACTTCCAACAAGGCTGGTTTCTTTTCACTTTGAGCACAGGAGGTAATCACTGGCTCGTTCTCTTCCTTCGTGACATTTACAGCCCACTAAACATGTGCTGCCTCGAGTTCTCTGTGAGGAAACCTTGTGGGTCAAAGAGGACAGGAAGCGGCGTCAGCTGAAGCGACTCTGATATTAAGTACATTTATGTTGCTGAGTATTACAAAGCTCCCCTTCCCATTCGACCGGCTGCTCGCCGAGGACAAAAAGGAGGCAGGGCCGACACATGGATGGTTAAAATAATCAAGTGAGGCGGGATTCAGGCGGTCCGGGGACTGTCTTGGGCTTGTCGAGGGTCTCCCGAGTCTCTGTGTGTTGCTGTCTGTGTGCGTATTTGTTCATCATTTGACAGCTCTGCTCTTGGCCTGATTTCAGGGTCTGGGACGTCATCGCGTTACCTGTGTGGCTGAGTCAGAGGGCCGACTCTGCACTAGACGTCTGTCCGCCCACTGCGAGATTCTCTCCATCCGTCCGTCCCTCCGTCCGCTCAACGAAGACACACCAGGAGCCCTGAACTTTGCGGCCGCTCCACACCGCTTTATTTGTTCTGCTGGTGTAAACACCTCACGTCACTCACACCTCCCCACCGAGTGATCCACCGCATTCTCCGGGTCGGAGACAGGCAGCGAAAGGAAAAAGGCGAGGGAGGATTCGCAGAGAACCAAAGCGTTCGCAAGCGGAGAGGTCGGCGCCATGAAGCTGGCGTTCTTGGTGCTGGCGGCCGTGTGCGCGGCGGGCAACGTGAGCGGCATGTCCACGTGTAAGACGCTGGACGTGCAGATGGTGAGGAAGAAGCGCATCGAGGCGATCAGGAGCCAGATCCTCAGCAAACTGCGCTTAGCGAAAGAGCCAGAGGCCGAGCAGTCGGGGGACGAGGAGGAGATCCCGACGACCCTGCTGTCGCTGTACAACAGCACCAAGGAGATGCTGAGGGAGCAGCGGAGGGTGGAGACGGACATCGCCACGGAGCAGGAGGAGGAGGAGTACTTTGCCAAGGTGCTGCACAAGTTCAACATGACCGGTGAGTACCAGATGCACCAGTCAAACGCTGAGCCGACGCGCCGTAGTCAAGAATGAGGGGGAATTGCTTAACTGCAGCACTCGGGATGTCAAGTAATAAAACGGCAGTGATTCACGCAGGTACACGTGCACGCATTGAAGCACCTGGAGAATCCTTTCCGTCTTGAAAAAATGTGGTTTTTCTGGGTATCACAATGATAATGGCTGAAGACAGTCAAAGCCAATATCACGCGTTGACGTTTCGTTGGCCCATAAAAACGTACAAACACCAATTGCAGGTAATGTTTTTGGCATCGTACGACTCGCAGAACAAGAGATAGAACAAGAATACATATCGAGTGACCGTTATTGAAAGTTAATTTGAATTTAATTGGTTAATATGTTATTCAAAACAATTTTGTGTGAAGTCACTTGGTATGAAAATGTAGTATAAAAAAACGAGTAACAAAAATGCACGAAAGTCCGCTGAGGATCGGGGGTTTGGTGATTTGGTCAAACACAGGACTTTGCCCCAGTAGCCCGCTGTTCCTCCGAGGTGAAACCAAAAGGAAACGTTGACTTTCCACTTAACAAGCCTGTTACACTCAACTGTAACTAACATTGTAATGGTTGTTTTGTTTGTTTTGCCTTTTTTTCTCACTCCAGTTTTTGATTTTCCAAGACGTAAGCGATCGCTTCGCAACGCCAGACAAGTGTGTTTCTGCTCGGGCAAAACAAGTCTGTAGTTAAAGCGGCAGAATTTATCAGTGGCTATACTGCATTGCAGATCTGCGCCGACATAAACAGATTTAGCAATTTAATTAGCTGAGTTCAGCTCCGATCTAGTCAATAACTTCTCTCCAACATGTGTACCCCTTCTGCGCTGCAACAAACATCTTCAGGAGTTCAGAGGTCACAGGTGATGCGAGTTAGCAAAACTCTTGCGTGTTTTCTTATACCCCATATCTGTGGTATTTTTACTGCTTTATTAGCGCTGTTTGTTTGGCTAGCTTGCGTGCGTTTGTTCAGCCAAAGGTTTCTTTGGCTGTAATTTAGCAATGAATCCAAAGCAGTGATGATAAACAGACTTTTTTTATTCATTGCTCCATTGTTCTCTACACGTCTAAAGACATTCACACTATCCCTCTTTTAACCGCCACTTCAAAAGGGAGACTTAAGTGGATGGACTGTGTCCAGGAGTGTGTGGACCGAACAAAAGAAGAAAGGAACCTAAAAAAATAAGGGGGCTTGAGTTTTGTTCTGCTTAGATGGAACCCAAAAGAAAATCAGGAACAAGGGAAAATTGAGATGAGGGAAGATATGAAATGCACTTCATCTTTGGTCTTTCTCTCTTTCTCTTTCTGTCCGCGTACCTCTGGGTTTGGTGGTTTCCTGCAATTTGAGCATTGGGTTCTCCTTCGCTTGTCCGGCATCATATCTCATTCTCCCAGAACATTTCCCCCTTAATTCCCATATATCTCTTCACCCATGATTACTGGCCTCTCTCTCTTGCTCTCTCTCTCTCTGTGTTTCCTGAGCTTATTATCAGTGTGTTTGCAGCGTGTTTGTGACGGGACAGCTTGGCAGGAAGGAAGGCAAGGCCGATGGCCACTGAGATCGCCAGTGACTCAGGTCCGCTGCAAGCGGTGCCCATAGAGAACATGTGTTTCCTACCTCTGTGGAACGCCAGAGAACACCCGTCCACTGTATTAACCCTTAAAAAGCACACTGGGGGAGAAGGGTTTTGCAAATACGAAAAAACACAAACACAGGAGGGGGGTAAGGCAACAATCCAGCTTCTGTTTGTAAAAGACAAAGGACTGTGTGTGAGCAAAGCCATTAAAAAGGAGGTGGAGAACAAGTTTTAATTTTTCATATATTCTTTAACAAATCCTATTCCTCAACTCAATTTGTGGTTGTTTTTTAGTGGACGACTAACACTTTCCTGACTCCCCCTAACGGCCTACGCGATGCATAATCGTGTGGATTTTATCAGTCCCAGCCCGCCGTTGAAGGCCCACACAAATTAACCTCATCCCGTTGAGCTCGTTAACGGAGAGAACACTTTCCCCTCGCTTGGAAAACGGCCCCTTTGCGCCACACGAGGTGAATGATTTCACCAAACATTTGTTAAACTCAAGAGTGAATCATGCTGCTGCAGCCCTACGCCGATGAAGAGTGGCTACTGGGTGTCAGGACGCCATTGGTATAAGCAGGGCGAGGTTGGTGGAACTAGACATTGCGAGTGGGCCGTGGGAGGGTGGAGCCCCGCGTACATGTGGAGGAGGCAGGTATTTAGCCTGTTGCTGGAATCTGGTTCCTCCCACTGGTAATTACAGAGCTGTCTCCATGCCTGTCACAACAGCTGTCTCTCGGCTTACCTGCGGATATGCCCTGATTCAACACACAAATCCCCCCCCCTACACCCATGTTAGTGTGCGGGCCAGGGTGCTGCCTCTACCCATGAGCAAGTCTGTTTATCAGTCAGAGCAGGTCTGTGATAGGGACTTAATTGGAATGTAGAAGTGAGCATGGAGCTGCAGCCAATGTGCTTCTTAGAGGAAGTGAACCAACTTCCTGTTCAGTAAACACTTCTCTCCGGCATTAATCTCGGTTTCAGCCTGGAGAGGTTGCCGTTCTCTTAGCTCGGCTTGTTGCTGCTCCTCCTCTCTGTGTTTCCATTCGAGCGCTCACAGCAAAACATTTGGCTTTGCTCTGGGTGGGGTCGGTAGAATGTCATCTCATTACCCCCTCAACGGCATACGCCAGCGCTCTCTTTCTCAGTTTCACTTTGGCCCCGTAGCTGAGCAACAACACAGATGGGGAAATTGCGTAAGTGGTACAGCAGGCAGCCGGGACATGGAGGATCCCGGTACAGGCTGCGTTCTTGCTCCTGTCAAAGAGTAACTCCCGGACTTTGAGTGCAGAGAATCCCGGCTTTGGCAGGCTAAGGCAGAGTGGAAGGTTTGGGCCTGTGCCAGGTCCCAGGCTCCACTGATATCTCCGATTTCCCTGCACCTTTCCACCCCTTCACAACTATGAGTTATACTCTCTGTACAATGAGTTTTTTTCTTCTATATTTTTTTACAACCTCCCCCCACACACACACCTCCTCTCAATGTTGGTTTTTAAATTGCATTTCACTCTTGATCTTCCCTGCCAGCCTCCACTTATTTTGCTCGTCCCTTTCCAACTTAATCCTTTTGCAAAGTAACCCTGCTAGATTTATGGCGTTAAGGCCTTCAGTAGCTTGGCTCTGTTTTCCATCAGCCTGCGCAGGGGGAATGTTCCCGCTGTCACGATACGGGCCGGCTCTGGGATACAAGTTGCAAATATGGGCAGGAATACTGTAAGAAAACACAACACTCTCCTTGACTCTACTTTACAGTAGTTGGAATAAATGAATATTTAGCTGCAGTTAAGATTAGCGAAAAACTGTGTTTAGCTTTCCCATTTTATTAGTGTTGTGCATAATTCGGAAGTTTGCTCATGAAGAGCAAAGTAACAAGCATCCATTTACAACAAGCAATCCATTTACATTTTCCAGCTCCGTCTGCAGATTTAACAAAGTAAAGGAATACAGTGTAATAAAGAAAGATAAATTGTCGCTTAAACGTGCAATATTTTTATTCCTTACCTTTTCATTTCTCTTCTACTACTTGGTCCATACAATCTAAATGAAGTCATCAGTTATATGTAAAGAGACAAACCTAGAAACTGACATTAGGACAAGAGTTTGTCAAAAGCAAGAAGACTGCTGAAGCTCTGGGTGTTGGCCTAAATCTTGAACGCATATTGGATAAAATCTAAAGTGGCAGAAACGAGTCCTCACTGCCGCCTGGAGACTACCTTGGGAAGTGACATCCGCTTGGCTTAAGTTTGCTGATCCAACGGTTCGGGCTGGTTGGATAACAGTAAACCGCCAACTGAAGGTCCGGCCGCCCTTCTTCTCTCATTCAGTCTCAATGTAGAATTCTTAGAATGAGTTTTCTTGTTTCTGCCACTGTTGATTTAGTCTGATAAACAAACCTTAAAAACATCAAAACCTCCACTGACCCTGTACCATCAATGTCATTTTCAAACACCTTTCGAATAATGTCATCTATTATGTTGATATATGATTAATATCCAAATCAGCAACGGGCTCCTTTAAGAGACGTGTTTGTTTTTTTCAACCTCATGAACATCAATTGTTTGCTGGAGCTACCCTTTTTTTATCACTTAAAAAAAATGATATGTACTTGTGCTAAAAAAAAGTGAATATTCCGTACAGGCCGTAAATGTTGCCTGCCAAATTTTAAGAACACAGTAGTTTTCTACCAACCCTCTATTGGTCGTACAAAAAACCTCTCAGTAGCGCCCCTGTTCTTCTAATCCCCACTTATATTTGTCTTCAGGGACCAAAAGGAAAATAGATTATAAAGGGAAAGGAAATAAATTCCACAGGCGTACTTGTGTATGTGCCGTATCGGAACACGTGTGAATGGGGTTTCCCATTCGAAATAGTGCCCCTATTTAAGCATGGTTAGTTTGAACAAATTAAATTACTTACTTATGTGTTTTCCAGGTTTCTCTTTGGCATAATGGAATATTGTGCCTTTAAGGCATCCCAAATTTGAGACGAATCCTCGCTGGAATTTGCCTGTCCAAAAATGTTTTGTGAAATGTGAAAGTAATATTTTGATTTATCCCTGCAGCCAAAAACGACACAGGGACCACCAAGGCCTCCAAAACTATCCCGATGTTCTTCAACATCTCGGAGATACGAGAAAGTGTGGGAGACTACCGCCTGCTGACCAGCGCTGAGCTGCGGATGCTCATCAGAAAACCCGTGATAGCTTTTTCGCAGCGGGTGGAGCTGTACCAGGGTCTCGGGTCGCCCAGCTACCTCGCCTCCCGCTTCGTCACCAACCAGTCGAAAGACAAATGGCTGTCCTTCGACGTCACTGAGACTCTGCAGAGCTGGCTCAAAGACAACAGTGAGATAGACACACTTTGTTTATTGTTCTGATACCATTATGACCTCTGTCTGGTTGTTCAGTTCGGTGCAACCTCTTGCCTTTTACAGATGATACGAGTTACCTTAGTCCTAAAATTTCCCAATGTTGTGAATTTGTGTCTCACCAGAGGATGAAGAGGAGTTCCAACTTCGACTGTTCTGTGAATGTGGCCAGACAGACGTCGACAGTACCTTCAGCTTTAGCATTTCTGGCATCGAGTCTGGTAGGGGAGACACAGGAGTTATGCAAATGAGGACAAAGCAACCACCCTACATCCTGACCATGTCCATCCCTCAGAACAGCAGCAGCCACCTTACCTCGCGCAAAAAACGCTCCACCGATCCAAAGGACACCTGCACAGCGTAAGCTATCACGTTGTTCTGTCATTTTATTGACATTTTCACAGCTGGAATTTCGAACCTCAACAGAAATGGGTGAAATGATGCTACTCCTGAGCACCCACTTAGAAACTCGTAGCTGAGTGGTAAATGTCATACTTTTAACCACAGTAAAACGAAGCATTTACAATTCACCCCTCAACTGAAACAAAGGCGAGCTGCCTAGCAAGGCAAATGGCCTGGCCTTCATCAGCAATTGACCCTTAGCTAAGCAGCACAGACCACTGTGCTACTTTTCCACCCCAGGCTACTAGAGCTGCTTTAGAGGCTAAACTCACTGACTGCACTCGATGAGGAAGCAGTACCTTTAACAGCAACTATCTCAAGGTTGTAGAATTACAGTTTTTCTCTTATGCAGCCAGACAGAGACCTGCTGCGTGAGAAACCTTTACATCGACTTCAGGAAAGATCTGGGCTGGAAGTGGATACATAAGCCAACTGGCTACAACGCTAATTACTGCATGGGATCCTGCACCTACATCTGGAATGCTGAAAACAAATATTCCCAGGTATGGTGCAACCTTTTTACTGTGAATTAAAGTTTCGTAACGCCCCCGGACGAAAAAAGAGACCCAACATCGCAACATTGTGCCATTTGTTGGGAGCTGTGGGCAGCATTAAAACGGTCAACACCAAGTTGGTGAGGTTCTTTGCTTCCAGGTTCTCACCTGATCTAGATACTGAAACTTTATCTGTGTACCTCAAAGAAAAACAAACGATTGAGACTGTCCACACGAGATTCAGCTCATTCTAAGTATCTGCTGAAGGCAATGAGGTTGATGAAATGTACACCGCGGAGCCGCGCGGGGCGGGAGCCATCGGGTCGAACCCTGCCCTCGCTGTGGGGGGATAACTGTGACTGCTGGTGCCAGGGGCACTGACTTGCCTTTTTCAGTCGGGTTTTTTCATACAAACTGTCGTGGCCTGCATGTGGGCGAGTATGCAGGGGATGAAGCTAGTATACTAGCTTCTATGTCTATGTATACTATGTATACACGAGACATTCTTCCAAGATCCAAGATTTGGAAAAACTAAACTTTCTCAATGATAACTTTCACGGGTACAACTGACCTTAGCACGGGAATAGTCCGACGTAGGATACTGGGAAGTTTGACTCATTGATAAATGTGGTCAGGCTTGGTGTTGACTGGTGCATTGGAATGCAGTTTACTCACGATGATAAGGAATTCATCATTCTAAATGTTTATACACCCTATGAGGGTCAGCACAATGAGGATGAATATCTTAATAGGCTTGCCTTCATCAATTCATATATTCAGACAACTGCCCATTATGTACATTATTAAGTACAGTTGATGCACATGCTTCATTAGGGTGTATGGGCATTCTTTGTGGGACAGCGACAACTGGTCATATACCTAAGATCTCCCGGCACTAACTAGCAATTAAATAAGTGTCAACACAGAAAAACTAAACTGGTGTAAAAGAAGGACTTCTCAGCCTATTATGCTCACACAGATGGATCTGTAAGTAATATTCATCTACCTAGAGATGCAACTATGTGCACTGATGTTAACTGTAAGGGTGTGGAGCATAGGAGAGATTTCTGCCCCAAGTATACGACCCATAACATCAGACCTGGTTGAGTACCGTGCCGATGCCTGTGAGGCTTTCAAATCCTGGGCTATCGCAGGGAGACCCAGACAAGGTACAAGAAACTCACTACTGCAAGATATAAGTATGCCATTTGATTCATTTATAAGCCAAGCCATGGCCAAGAAGATGAGAAAAAATAATGTTGTTGATTTCTGGAAAGAGGTGAAAGTTCTTAACAACTTCAAAACCTCTCTGCCGTGCACTGCATTATCATACCTTATTTAACTGTGTTAGTGGGGACTCGTACAAGGTGGAAGATATTGAGACGAATGTGTCAATGACGATTATGTCGCAAGAGGTGTACCAAGCTATAAATAAGCTGGATGATGGCAAAGCAAGTGGTTTTAGACCATATTACTGCTCAACATCTTCAATGTGCAAGTCCGAGGATAGCTCCTCTTCTTTCCATCTGTTTTACCGGCCTCATAACTCAATGCTTGTTACCAGACTTAATGCTGTCTGTTCTGTTAGTGCCGGTCATTAAAAAAAAAAGCTGGTAAAGAAGGTAGCCTAGATAATTACAGGCCCATTGCTTTGGCCAGTATTCTGTCAATAATCCTAATGGACAGATTAAATTAGTTTATTCAATCCTCAGATGACCAGTTTGGCTTTAAACCCAAACATGGCACTGACTTATACTGTATGTGCCTTAAAGGAAATTGTCAACAAATATAAAGATTAGAACTCATCCATTCTTCTATGTTTTATAGATGCCTCCGAAGTGTTTGACCGTGTTAATCGTGGAAAATTGTTTGAAAAATTGAGTCAAAGAGGTGCCCCCAAACACATTGTGAGAATTACTGGTATTCCCACCAGACAATGCAAGTAAAATGGGGCCAAAGTGTCATTTGGGGTCAGCAATGGTGTTTGACAAGGAGGTATTTTGTCCCCAGTCCTTTTTAATCTAATTATTGATCTTTAATCATATTATGTATGGAGATGATCATGTGTCCAGCAGCTCCTCACTAGATGTGCCGTCTCTGGTGTGGAACATGATATAAAATACAATGCCTGTAAGAGCGCTATCTTGATTTGTAGAACGAACGAGGATAAAATTCTAAAATTCCCTGACTTTAAATCGTCTGATTATTACCTCGGTGCCTGTGAGAAGATAAAAAATCTTGGACATTTTATTACATTTTATTACAACAGATGACCCACGATGAAGGTATCTTATGTCATAGGATGTGTACAGATGGAGTGAAGATGTCTCTGTTCAGAGCTGCACACTTGGGGTCCATTAACAAAAACAGCAGTAGCTTATAATGATGCCGTGAGAACATTACTACAGAGGCCGAGATGGCGTAGGGCCAGTGAAATGTTTGTGGCTGTGGGAGTTCATACTCTCCAAGCTGTTTTAAGAAATCTTATGTATAAATGTATCTGCCGGGTTAACAGCTCTGAAGATTAAATCGTCTTGGGTTTGTCAAACATAAAGTTCAGCACTTCACGCTACCAGTCCCAGAGGTGGAGACATTGGTACAGTTGTCTGTTCATAGGGCATTAGTAGGTTTGTGTATGTAGTCTGTGCTGTAAAACCCGTTTGCAGGCATTCTGACGTCCTAACACTGCTAGCAGTGAAAACTACAGTGAAGGTGCTGACTGAGCAAATGATGTTTTCGTGAGGGGGAAACAGAGGGCTGTTGCTAAACTTCTGCGATAACACGGTACACAGTTATTAGAACAGAGCGGCGTCCAAGGCTCAGCCAATGTGACCCGGCCTTGTTCAGTGAGCAGAGAGAAGACGAGCTGGATTACAACACACTCGGGGGGAGAGCGACTTCCTTTATCTGCTCGGCCTGCCGTTACTCTTATGTCTTTGTATGGGTAACAGCTGTTTGCTGCTCTAGCAATGTACTGAATATACCATGTTAGACAAGTTTTGAAGCACATTTACTATCACTGTTCAAGGTGTAAACCACAAATACCTGGATTGTAGCAAGAAGCACTCTCGTAATTGGTTCCCATAAATCCACCGTCTGTGAAAGCTGCTTTTCGCTTTGGGAGTTCTGAGCTGCATTCTCTGTCTTCACGTCTTTCCCCTCATGTAATTGTTCACAGATTTTGGCCCTGTACAAGCATCACAACCCAGGAGCCTCTGCCCAGCCTTGCTGTGTTCCACAGACACTGGAGCCACTGCCCATCCTCTACTACGTGGGCAGGCAACACAAGGTATCGATGCCGCTGCCAAGTAGCCTTCATTCCAGGGTGAAATGTTTGCAGAACATTTGATGTGAAAGCAGCACTTTAGTCAAAGATGAATCACTCTGCTGTTGGTTTTTCCCCTTCAGGTGGAGCAGCTGTCCAACATGATTGTGAAGTCCTGCAAGTGCAGCTAAAAATACGGCACGGCCAACACTCAAACACACTATGAGATGTGTTCTAGAGCGTCACGGAGTGAGCATGTGACGGAGGGGACGAGAAACATGTGGAACAATTTGAAGTCATCGGGATCTTTCCGTTCACCACCAATCCTTTTGCTAAAACTCTACCTTCATCACACCCTGGACTTCTTCATGTAGAAATTAAAGATTTCATTTCATTTCTGTGCGTATATACCTTTCCCCTTGCTGTAGTAAAAAAAAATGCCTGTCCTTAAATGAGACAGATGTGTAAAGAATGTTTGCCAGTTCGACATTAAAAAAGAAATATATACGCCCCCCCGCCCCCAACCAGCAAAAAAAGAATAAAGAATGCCAAAGGACACGAGGACCAAGATAACCTCCATGGAAGAATATTTTCTTTTTCACAGCTGATTATCTGGGACTTTTGTTATTTCCGTATCATCAACCCAATGAGGTCACAGATAAAAGGTGCTGAAAGCCCCAGGTATGGAAGACAGTGGTGGTTGTTGGGGATTTTCCTCGGCCATAAAGGCACAGGTGTTTCCTGGAGATTGTTTGCGTCGCACGGGACAGCAGACCGCCGCGGGGACAGTACGACCCGGGGAAACTCCCTCTGACTGGCGGGAGCTATCAGCCAACCGAGCAGCGCTTCACTCAAACCGTCCGTCTTTTTGTATTTGGAGCCCACTTGACTTATTCGATGCTTTTGTTTTGTTCTCGTCGCTGTTATACCAGATTGTCCTTATGAAGCCGCCCCGTGCTGTCAAAGAACATGAGTAATATCAGGGGATGTGAGAGTGATGACGCCGTGTTTTTCCCCGCTCTCAGGAGTCACAGCAGGCTAGTTGTGTCTAGAAGGTGGTGGTCGGGGGATGCGGCTGTGGTGTCGGTTTTAGGGAAGCTGTTGACACTCAACACACACTTTTGCTGTTTGTTTTTAATAGTAATGTAGGGGCAATTTGTTTTAACTCTCATCTGAAAGTGTGATGCTTTTGTACAACTCCAGAAACAACCCAAAACTTTGTAGTGCACTTCCCATTTGAAATTTGCATTTGTAAATATTTTAACAATTTGAAATAAACGTTAATGTTAAATTATCACGTCCGAGTGGAAGATTTTGATTGCAAGATAAAACCACATGCTGTGTGTACACTTGGGTGTGTGTGTGTGTGTTACACTTGTAGCTGCGTGCAAGCGCACTGATTCTATGACACGAGCCCAAACACACCTTTAATGTGTTTGAAAGTGATCATCAGCAGTTGTTTTCTATTTCATTACATAAAAATGTTAATTACATGTTTTATTATGTTAGTATTGAGCAATTTTTTCTGTGAACGTCCAACCACAACACTTCCTAAACTACTCTTCTCTTCTCTCTTTTCTCTTTTTCCTGAGTAACTATGGATTTATGTAAAAAGACATTGAGATATAAATGTGTTTTGTTCTTGCAACACAAGGCGAGTAATAGTCCCAATATATTGTAGGCAAACATCTCTACGGCCGTTATCTCCAACACAGCTTTCTTTCTGATTTCGGGGCTTACTGCCTTTTTAAAGTCTCTGCTGTAACCCTTTGCCTTCTGGGGATTGACCTCCCTCAGCGTGTACAACGGCAGACCTCACGCTACTCTCAGCAAATGATATAAAACCAGATTTCTGCTCTTAGCAGTGACTGTTCAGTGTCAGGAGGGGGGAGATCTACCAGTGGAAAAGCGTGACGTGTGCCAGGTGCGTGTGGTCTATTTCTGGGCAGGCGGTGGCGGCCTGTTTACTCTGGACAGAGGAGGACAGCCGGAAGAAGAGCAGCGAGTCCTGCTGGGCTTCACTGACGAACAGCCCAGCGCGGGATTTCCCGGACGCCAGGCCTAATTCTAGGAACCGCTTTTTACCTGCGGTCGCCGCACATCATACCAAGAATTTGTCATTTTTTTCACTATCTCCTGACACCTTGTCCTCCCCCACCCAGCCTGCCCCACCCCTCTCCCTCAGTACTCAAGAGATTACTGGCAGCCCACGATGCTGAATTGGGAGTGTGGAGAGCAGGTCCAGACCCGTTGGTAAGTCTCAGACTTAAGGGCAGTGACTGCATGGAAAATTAAACACACACACACACACACACATGCACATGAAAAAGACTGAACCCACTGACACACACGCCGAATGCCTTACATAAGCCTTGCAGTGTGAGAGATGCGTGCATCGCCCATTAGGTAACATTGATGCGTGGTATCTTTTTCCAAAGGTGCTCATGTTACCAATGGTTCCGCTGAAAAGCTCAGGAATTTTTTCTCTCGCAAGTCAACACCTGCTTGTTGAGGAAATTTCTCACCGATGGCAGGTAAATAAAGTGAAATGAAACATAATCAACATAATTGAATCTCTTGTCTCACCTCTCAAAATGATCCTCACAGATCTCTTACCAGGTCTTTAATTTTAATGGTGCCGAGGCACCATATGCACTGTTTTATCTTGGCAGTCCAGATGTAATTGGAATGTTAAAATGTGGGTTTGTTTCATCTTCAAAGAAAACAGGTAAATTATCCAACCTAAACAAGCAGAGCATAAGTTTTAATGGGAGAAATATGATTATTAAAATGCCATTCAACCTCCTATATTTTCCCTGTAATGGCCAAACAAATACTGCAGATTTCAAAAGGCTCATGAATGTATCAAAGTGTTGGAGGAACATTCCCGGAGGAAAGTCCAAACTCAGGCAGGCGTGTCCTTCTAACTGATGCTCATTTCTCAGCAGCTGCTTCCTCCAGAGCCCTCAGAGCTTTTTATGGGACATAAACAAAGTGCTGACACCTGCTGAAGTACATCCCAAAAACTGCTCCATATGGAGATGAAAAAGAAGGGGGTGTGCTTGAATGCATCGTTCCATGTACGAATGTTGCGCAAGAAGGGGAGCTGAGATGTATGCCTGCGGCATTTCAAGGTCAAGCAGGTGTTGTTGCTAACGCAATCCACGTGCCGTGTTTATACGACTGCATGAGTAACCGGAAAAAAGATTTCGTTTTTTGCGCTTGCGAGTAAGTCAATCTTGGCATAATTGGCCCTTTAATTGCATCCATATGCTTGTAATTCTTCTTCCTTTTTCTGCAAAACATACCATGAAAGGCTCAGTTTCAATGCCGCCTGATACTTTTTGTCTTTCTTTTACAAGGTCGTGAAAGGTGACTGTGTTAGATGAAGGCTGATACGGACGCCGCCAGCACCGAGATGCTATTTTGGGTTCAGTCTTATTACATCTGTGACATTTGCAATTATATGTGCAACGCTGTGTCATTATAAGCGGAGCTCTGAAGCGACGTTGGTGTTATTTCTGTGGACTCAGGTGGTGCTGACTGTGACCTTAATAACACTCCAGAGTCCTACTGCTGCTCAGCTCGGCTTCACAAACACCACAGCTGCTCAAAGCCATTGTTGCTCCAGGTGCAGAATCTGTGCATGTAGACACACTCATTTTCACCCAACAACAAACGTACCTTCCGATTCCCAGTTATAGCTATTTTGTGATTAATAATGTTTCTTATATTGTTTTTAATTAGCGGCGCCATTGATGGCTGCCATTTAATTTTAATACGCTTTTGCTGTTGTAAAAAAATGTGTCCCCCATTTATTTAAATTAATCAAGACTTTTCTTTCATGGTGCGTGGACCCATGAGAGAAAAACTATTATTCCTCAAGAATTCAAGGTAGCAAAGTATGAATAACTGATATACAAATGGTCATTTTCTGGCTGAAGAAAATATTATTTGTATAAGGTTTATCTACAATATTATTGATAGAAGAAATATAAAATGAAGTTAGTTCTAATTCTATTTTCTAAAACTTTTTTCTTCTTCATTGCAGTTTTTTTTTTAATTTTTATTTTTCCTTGTTTCATTTAAGCACATTACAATTTGTTTAATTTAAGAAACAATCATATGCAATTTAAATATTATGACCATTCTCAAGTTTCTCTTCATGTAAAGGATTTGTCATAGTCTACATTACTGTCAATATTGTATTTAGTTAGATATTGCATTACGTACCGCATGCTTGTCATTAATATGTGCACACACACTCACACAAACACACACACACACGCATTATTCAAACTTTCTTTGAATAAGTGCCAAGTTTTTTACAAATGGTCAAAGACAGTAGTATAAGAACCCTCCCACATACAGACATCATATCATATTACACTCAATTCTCTTTTTCGTATAGTTTGATTGTGATACCCATAAGCGACACGCATGAAACATGAACTGCTGAGTATGCAGAAGGATCACAATGTGTTTACACGATTCTTTCCCCCTCTCCACCTGTCTTCATTTTACCGCTGAGTCCCTCGCTTCACACCTGCAGGCCCAGATTTTTATCGTAGTCTAAGTCAGCTCAGTCTGTCCTTTTCTCTCTTTTCCTTTGTTGTCTTTACCTTGACCCCCCACCCCCCACCCTTACCCCCCCCCTCTGGCTATGGGAAGACTCCCGGGCCGGTTTGGCTTTATCGCCTTCACTACAAGGCAAGTGATAGGGGAAGAACACGGGTATAGGGGAGCGAATGAATAGTGAATGAAAGACCACACACCTCTGCTCGCTGCCCATATTATATTCAAAATATGGAAATCTCTCAAATCATTTTCCCCAGATGTCATGCAGGCGAAGGGAAGAAACTCAAACCCTCTTCAAAGTGAAAACTACAAAGGCAAATGATCATAAACCATGTGTGAGTATCTGAGTGTGCTTGCAAAGCATGTCTGACTCATTTGCTGGAACTCGGCGAGTCGCAAAGAGATTTCTAAAAAAGGAAAGGTACCAATTAAACTTCCGCACTGGTTCCTTCCGAGGGTGCCACCTCTCCACTTCCTTCCTCCCCGGCTCTCCGTCCCTGCGGAAACAGGTGGACAAATCTCACCGTCTAAACAGCTACCATGTCCCCGGATAAATAATAGAGGAGAGGATCTGAGGACTGAAAAGTCAACATTGGCCATGAAGACACCCAGAGGGGAGGAAGCCCAGCGGCTCAATCTCACATTTGTTACTTTTTTTCTTTAAAAAAACAGATTTCTGAAGGTTTATTTGCATCATTAAAACGATTTCAAATGTGCGACATTTTCTTTCTTTCATTCACAGGGCGACATTATAACTCTAAACCAAGCTGACGGACAGTAGTAGTAGTTTATTTAAGTTCACGCTACTGTTGACTCTGTTTTTGTTCCCCACCAACACAGTCGAGCCAGATGTGCGTATTACGTGGGTTCAAGTTCTGACCGTTTTCCCCACAACATTAACACGTCTATGTGGGTTTTTTAAACACAGGAAAGTCTTCTAAGAATAGACGACTTCTACAGATTGCCAGTCGCCGTGTATGCCTTTCTATTTTTTCTTCTCGTGCGTCATGTTCTACGTCATGACGGTGCCGGAAAAAAGGGTGAGTAAACAAGGAAATTGTTACAGTGGTTACTAATTTTTCAATTCAAACCCGAGTGGGTGAATGTTGGAAAAGTGGAAACACTAACAAAGACGGTTTTGTTGAAGTGTGGGTGTGTTCATTTGACGCTCACTGAGGTCAAGTGAATGTTTCTGTCAATGGAGTCACTGCTCGTCACACCAATTGTTAAAATATTGTAAACAATAACAGAAAAGGGTTTTTCAGGTGGCTGTTATGTTTCAATGTCACTGCTGATCGAAGCTGGCTACCAATGAGTCTATTGAAACACTAATGAATTTGGTAAATTGTAACGGGTGTGTAGTTTGCCAAAAGCAGCTACATGGCTCCGCTGACGGACACATTGTCGGTGAAACCAACCAACAATGAGCTAAAATGTCTTAAAAGGCTTTGTAGAAATGATCCTCGATGGGTCTCTCACTGTGAGGGAGTCCTTTCAAACACAGGAGCAGATGATGGGCGACTGTGGGTGAGTGATTCAGAGGATTGGCCATCCGGTCCCAGGCCCCGCTAACCAGCGTGTCCTTGGGCAAGACACTTACCGCAAATTAGCTCCTCTATCTGTGACTGTGGTTTGTGATTGGGTGGATGTCAGTTACTGGTAGCTCCTGTCATCAGCCTGTGAACGGTTGAATGATGACATGAAGTGTTAAAGCGCTTT